TGGTAAACTGTGGTCAATGACATGAGACAGTATATGTGAACTGCTGTATGGAAAGTGAATTTGCTCTGTAAATCTTCACCCAAATCACAATAAATTTTTTTAAAAAAGTATATGTTGACATCCTAACCCTTCTGCCTGTATATGTGATGCTGTCTAGAAATAAGATTTTTATTATATTAATGAGGCCATATAAGAGTAAAGAGGGTCCTAAACCTAATTACTTTTGAGTTATAAAGAATGTTGCATAGACACAAAAACACATACAGGGGAAAGGAGATGACAAGGAACACCACGGAACACCAAGGAAAGTCTACAGAACTCCCAGGACAATTTACAAAGAAGGATCCCCTCTAGAGCCAAGCCCTGAATTCAGACTGTTTATATAACTGTTAGAAAATAAATTTTATTCTTTAAAGTTAAAAAAAAAAAAAAAAATTGACACACTCCCTTCTTGATTTTAAGCCATGCAGTGTCCCCTTGTTCTGTTCTAATGACAGCTCCTGGTTTATGTACAGGTTCCTTGTGAGTGCACTTAAGTAGTCTGGAATTCCCATTCTTCTCTGTTATCCATAATTTGTTATGATCCACACAATCAAATGCTTTTGCATAGTCAAGGAAACATCTTTCTGATGTTCTTTGCTTTCAGCCAAGATCCATCTGACATCAGCAATGATATCCCTTATCTCATGTTCTCTTCTGAACCCAGCTTGCATTTCTGGAAATTCTCTGTCAATATACTGCTGCAATCATTTTTGAATTATCTTCAGTGTGGTAGTTATGTTTGTGTATCAACTTGGCTGGGCCTGGTTGAGTGGCTGGGCAGCTGGTGGTAGTTATTCCCCATGATGAGACTGGTAATCAACTCCATGGTGGGATCTACAAGCAGCTGAGTAGCTGCCTTTGGGATGTGGTCTGCTTCCTGTATATAAGGAGAAGCCTTGGGAATGGTCTCCAGCCTATGGCACGCTTGGACTCTGCATGTAGCCGTGTTGTTGCTCAGCAACCTGCTATGCTCTGCCGACCTTGGGACTTAAAATGGACTTAATGGCCTGCCATGTGGTTTGGTAACATCAAGACTGTGCCTTTTTACTTGTCAACCTTGGGGCTTCTCAGCCTCAGCAGCCAGCGGCTGTCTGAGTGAAGAAATACCTCTAGCTCCAGTGGGCCAGGAGCAGGAGGCAGAGCTGGACCCCAAGGTTGAGGGGCTTTTACCCAGCCCCTAGAGCCTGGCACTTTGAACTTGGACTTAAGGCCTCCAAATTGTAAGAATAAACTCCTGTTTGTTAAAGCCATCCCATTTGTGGTATGTTTCCTGTCAGAGTAGTACTAGGTAACTAGAACATTCAGTAAGATTTTACTTGCATGTGATATTAATGATATTGTTTGATAATTTCCACATTCTGTGGTATGACATTTCTTTGGAATGGGTACAAATATGGATCTCTTCCAGTCAGTTGGCTAGGTGGCTATCTTCCAAATCTCTTGGCATAGCCAAGTGAGTGCCTCCAGCACGGCATCTGTTTGTTGAAACATCTCAATGGGTATTCCAACAATTCCTGGAGCCTTGTTCTTCACCAGTTTCCTTTAATGCAGCTTTTACTTCTTCCTTCTATATCATTGGTTCTTGATAATATGCCACCTCCTGAAATAGATGAACATCAACCAATTCTTCTTGGTATAGTGACTCTGTGTTTTCCTTTCATCTTTTTTTGGTGTTTCCTGCATCACTCAATATTTTGCCCATAGAATCTTTCACTATTGCATCTTGAAGCTTGAATTTTTTTCTTCAGTTCTTTCAGCTTGAGAAATGCTGAGCACGTTCTTCCTTTTTGGTTTTCTAACTCCAGGTCTTTGCACATTTCATTATAATTGACTTTGTCTTCTCGTGCTGCTCTTTGAAATCTTCTGTTCATCTCTCTTCTATCTTGTCATTTCTTCCATTTGCTTTAACTACACTCCGTTCAAGGGCAAGTTTCAGAGTCTCTTCTGACATCCATTTTGGTCTTTTCTTCCTTTCCTGTGTTTTTAATGACCTTTTGCTTTCTTCATGGATGATGTTCTTGATGTCATCCCACAATTCCTCTGGTTCTTCATTTTCTATACAACACTTCATACACTGGATTACATTTTGTTTTATGACATTGATTGCAATCCCCACAATGCAACAGCTCTCTTCTCACTTCCTCCCTTTGGTTACCTTTGCCCAATGTCATCCTTTCCTCTGCAGCCCTGCCCTCTGAGCTATTTCCCTGTGCAAATACTGCCCTTTTGATCTCCCATGGTTGATCATTCTAAGGAGTGTGCCTACTTGGTGTAAATGTTTACCTTATATGCCTATTGTTGGCTGGAAGCCATGGGAGTGAGTTCAATTCCAGGCCCAAAGGGTGACTGGGGGCCATAGTCTTGGGGTTTCACCAGTCTCTATCAGACCAGTAAGCCTGGCCTTTTTTTATGAGTTTGAGTTTTGTTCCACATTTTTTTCCCATTCTATCCAGGATCTCCTACACCGATCCCTTTCTGAGTGATTGACAGTGGTAGCCGAGCACCATCTAGTTCTTCTGATCTCAGGGTCATGTAACCTGAGGTTCACATGGTCCACTAGTCCCTTGGACTGACTGTTTCTGTGTCTTTGGCTTTCTTCATTCTTCTTTGCTTCAGATGAGGAGAGACCAACTGTTGCATCTTACAATGGCCACTTGCAAGCTTTTAAGACCCCAGTCGCTACTTACCAAAGTGGGATGTAGAATAATGTTTTTATTTAGTTTGTTATGCCAATTGAGCTTCATGTCCCCCATTACCATGGTCCTGAGCCCATAGGTCCAGTGATTCATTCCGTCAGGATGTTTGGTTGTGGCTAAGAAATTAATCATCACTTTGCCCCATTAGCTCTATTATTTATATGGACATTGAAAAAAACACTGATCTCTCTCCTACTCATTTTTCTGAAGTGGCTGCCTTTTGTATGTGTGTGTGAAAACCTACATATAAAATGCCTAGAATCTAAGCATTTCTGCATTAGATGGCACAATGAAATTATTTTTTTTTAATTATGTCTAATTGTGACCTATTAACTTTTTCAGAGGAGATACGAAAACAAGGCTTATGTCAGTGGCTTGATTCTCTTCAGATTGATAACACTGCCTCTGCAGACCTGCAGCTCACCGTGGGAGCCATGATCGTGGAGGAAATGAGAGCAGCCATAGAAAGGCAGACAGGTTTTCAGTGTTCAGCTGGAATTTCACACAATAAGGTGAAGACTAGTAATAAATTTCAAAGAGAGCAATGGATATTTTTAGTTAGTGAATACAACAAGAACAGATATTGATAGTGCATTTAAGTCATTATCATATAGTTTGAAATTGATCTCTATTTATAATTCATGCTGATGTCCAAATAAGGCCTAATTAATCCTTTAACATGGGAGTCAACTGAACATATACTAACCTAAGATGCAGCCTAGAAATTTTGCAGAAACCACTTTTCTGTATTAGTTGCATCCAAAGGATTTCCTTAATGACTGACTATCCATAGAAAGTTGGAAGGAAGATGGGGCAATCTATTTCTGTAGTGATACTGCCTCAAAAACCCAAGGAGTGGTCGCTGAGTCAGGTCCGACTCGACAGTACATAACAACAACAAATCCGTAGAAGGGAGCTCTGGTAGTGTAGTGCCTAAGGCACTTGACTGCTAACCAGAAGGCTGACAGTTCAAACCCATCAGCCACTCCTCGGAAGGAAGGTGGGACAATCTACTTCCGTAGTGATACTGCCTCGGAAACCCAAGGAGGGGTCGCTATGACTCAGGGCCAACTCGACAGCACATAACAACAACAACATCCATAGAAAGGAGGAGGCGAGTCTTTGAACTTTTACATACAGTGAAATCTGTGAGAGCCGGAACTTGATGGAATTTGATTTTCCTGGTATCCCAAGTTTTCCACCTTTGACAGGGCACAGCTTTACCACTTTTCTTTTGCTTGTCTTAGTGGAAAATATTTGAGTTTTCCTTCCCTGATGGGTTTCCACCTTACACATGTTCCAGGGTTCATAGGTTTTACTGTATAAACCTATTTCTTTTCTTTACACTTGCTGAATATGCTAGTATTACCTCATGTTTTCTTACATGGGGTTGTCTGAGTGTTTTATGCTTTTGCCTATCCCACCTGTCCAATGGGAGCAATCAGATAAATGGAATAGTAAAATCTTACTTAGACTACTATTTTGATTTTGGTAATACAGACAACTGTCAGTAATCCAGGGGCAGAATAACTGGTTTTCTGATTAGGTATGAATGAAGTGCAATGAAGGTCTGGGACCTTCACCTCCTTCTGACCAGGCTCAGTAATTGAGCAGTGGTTCATTATCTGTGGTTGATACCTTCTCTCACTAAGTTTCCAAACTTCACTGCAGAGTTTTCATTTCCTAGTTGGGCCAGGGAAGGCAAACAAAAATTCTAGCATAAACCAGACTAAATGTTGCCTACTTCATATTCCTGGAGACTCTCTCTAATGAATTTAAAAAATGCTTTTTCTACTTTGCCTGTCAATTATAATTTGTGAAATGATACCTCTGAAGTGCCTTCCTCTTTGAGTTTTAAAGTGTTTTTTTTTTTTTTTTCATTTTGAAGTCTTGTTTACATGTGTAAGATGGTGTTTGCTATTGCAAGATGATTGTGAACCCAATCTCTATCACAGATTCTCAATTATGATAACCTATATAAAATTCAGGGCTCAAAATAGACTTTAAAACCATACACATAAAATAGTGTAGAGTAAAACAAGTTTGTTACTGTATTTTCATGTGAACACACTGAGAAATACATCTTCCTTGAGTTTCTTCTGCAACTTCTCTGCTTTTGAAACTTCTTGAATTGTCCTCAATGGAAAGATGGGGGAGGAAACAAAGATTAAAGGAAAATTAATTGTGGAAGAGATGTGGCAAGAACAATGAGGATAATGATAATGGATCATATTTTCCACTGAGGATATGGAACCAAGATTTAGTAATGTCTTGAATTTCTGGTTTTGGTTTTAATCTGGAAACCATTAGCTACCCTTAATCTATGCATGTGTGTGTGTTTTAATATTCACCAACTCTCTGTGTGAATAGGGTTGATAGTAATGAGATTTTTATACTTTCTATGCTTCAGGTCCTGGCAAAACTGGCTTGTGGACTAAACAAGCCCAACCGCCAGACCCTGGTCTCACATGGCTCAGTCCCACAGCTTTTCAGCCAAATGCCTATTAGCAAAATGTAAGTATTCAGGGAGCACCTTAAATTTCATTTATACCCATGTGAAGGCAGGCACTCTCTAGTTGTAGTTTCTTCCTAAGGAAGGATTGATGCCAAGACAAATAGGTAACAGGGCTACTAAATTGCTCCCATACGAGGCATGAGAAAAGAAGCCAAATCAAATTAATAACCAGGTTGACCCTACAAATTATGTGTCCTTGACAAGGGATTATAATTTATTGAATAGAGAAGACATAAGAGTTCAAGGTAACAATGAAAATGCCATCATAAGACTGCACATGAGTAACTGCTAAATAAATTATGCAAGAGTAATCTGAAAAGGATTTATGAAAAAGGCATGGGATTCTGTTTTGAGGTTTGGCAGAATTTGGAGAGTCAGATGAGAATAGGAAACCAATACTGGTTTAAAGAATATTTTGAGCACAAAGGAGAATGTATAAGGTGTTTCCAGTGAAGTGGCACATAAACCTTGTACTTTATTAGTTGCCATTGAGTCAGCTCCAACCCATGGACAGAACAAAACATTGCCTGATCGTCTTCACAGTCAGTAATAAGCTCAAATGCATTGTCACGGCCAATGTGTATTTTGAGTGTCTTCCAACTTAGGAGACTCAACTCCCAAAACTATATATAATATTCTGTTGCGATCCATATTTTGTTAAGGAATCCACAGATGTGATTCACAGGGCTTTCACTGGATAATTTTCAGAAGGTAAATTCACAGGCAGATTGCCAAGCCTTTCTTTCTAGTCTGTCAGCCTGGAAGCTCCGCTGAAACCTGGATGGACATGGTAGCCCTGCTGGTATATGAAATACTGGTGGCATAGTTTCCAACATCATAGCAACACATAAGCCACTATAGTATAATGAACTAACAGACAGGTAGAGGTAAACTAGTTTAGCTAGACCATATTGAAGAAGAGAAGTAACTGGGAGTACGACAGAGAAAAATAGGTTGAAGAAGCACAAATTGTTTTGGTGTTGGAATTTTAATCCCCAAGTGGGATAATAGATCCTGTACAATTAAAAATGTTATATACAGTTGACTTGGCTAATCAGTGACATTTTGTTTATGCTATTACTAATCTTCCTAAGTCCTTTGGTAGATTCAGACCAATACTGTGTTCTCATTATTCCTGAACCTTTCGGAGACCTAGTTACAGAAGCAGAATGCCTTATACTAACCAGCTATTTATGATGTGACCTGTAAATCATTTGTCTCCTTTTTTATCAGCCGTAATCTTGGAGGAAAGCTAGGGGCCTCTGTCATTGAAATCCTGGGGATAGAATATATGGGTGAACTGACCCAGTTCACTGAATCCCAGCTCCAGAGTCATTTTGGAGAGAAGAATGGGTAAGTGATTCATATTTTCAAAATATCATGTTTATGGAATTCAAATATAGACAAAAGTATCTGATAAAACTATGTTAACATTTGTTTCTTCAGGGAATTTAATTGGTCTGTCTTACTTTAAAATATTAGGGCACCATTTTAGAGTAGTTTTTTCACGTACCTTGGTAGGTTGATAGGTAGGAATTGTTACTTTGAAGCCTGAATATGTAAAGGTGATCCTTATTATTCATGGATCCTGTTTTCATGAACTTGCCTACTTGCTAAATTTATTTGTACTCACGGTGCTGTCGTGGTCATTTATGAGCAGTGTTGCCTAACATGCACATTCCCAGCTGAGGTTGAACAAGATGACTCTGCCTTCTAGTGTCAGCTCTCATACTGAAAACAAGTGTCCTTTTCATAAGTTCCCACACTGTTTTGCTTTTTGTTGGTGATTTTGCTGTTTAAAATGGATTACTAGTGCTGAAGTGCTACCTAATGTTCCTAAGTCCAAGAAGGCTGTCTTGTGCCTTACAAAGAAAATGTGTGTTAGAGTAGTTTTATTCAGGCATGGGTTATATTGGCCATGAGTTCAGTGTTAATGAATTAACAAAAATGAAGTATGTTTAAAAAACAGAAACACACATAAAATAAGGTTATGTATTGGTCATCTGACAAAATGTGACCAGAAGCTCACAGGAATCTAACCTTGGATTTCTCCTAGGAGCAGTGGTTCAATATTCATTAATTCATTGTTTGCATTGACTTTAATAACTTAACCACAAATAATGAGAATCAACTGTACTATTACGTCATTTTATCTGTGCTAAGATGACCAGGGAAAACCTTATGAATAGCAAAGAACACTGTTTGGTACATTACCGCTCACCTTTAGGAATAGTCCGTTTAGGGTAAAAGGCTCTCAAAATAGGACTGGGAAAGAGTTGCAACATCTGAGTAAACCCAGCCTTACTCATATGGAAAACAGAAAGCTTTCAAGACCTTCATTTGCTGATGTGGCACCACTCAAATT